AATCACTCATAAATAGTCCACTTACTTTTTGTCATGAAGCATGCACCAGGCAAAGGATTTCTCTTCGAAACTAAATAATTGAAGCATTGCCATTCTTATGTAAGCGAGATATGAGTTTTGGTCGACTTCTACCCCTTTCGTTGTTTTAGTATTCCATGCGTCTCTATTTACATCGCACCCTCGTCGCGATTAAACTTTGACCATCAATTTTTTTTAATCTATGATATGCTAATTAAATATCATAAAAATTATACCATTGGAAATTACTCTTTAATATGGATTGAATGGTATAATTGTTGTAACACAGAGCCCAAGTTTTGTTAGTCAAAGTTGGATCTCAGAACATGTGTGCACCATGTAAATGGGGTCAGAGGGAGTACACCTTAAGATGTACCTCAAACATAATCGAATTTATTAGACATGCACAAATATGGTAGTTAACTCCTATTATGAGTTTTATGGTTGACTTGTACCCCTTTCATAGTTTTAGTACATCTTTGAGGTGTACCTGGAATGGAATCAAATTTATTGGACATGCACATGTAAATAAAGTTAAGCACAAACACATTTTAATTAAGAAACAAGCTGAACATAACTTAGTTTACATGGTATGTGCTTGTCAGTGAACAAAGGTCTAATTCTTAGTCCACATGAGCACATGCATGTACCAAACACCATCTTGTGAAGATATCTTAGATATTTTGTGAAGATGATTTTGGATAGAAAATTATAGTAAGATTAATATTAAATGCACCCAACTGTCATGTTATCGGCATGTACATGGACATAAGAGTCCAAAATAAATGTAGGAGACAGAAGAACCTCATAAAAGCGGTTACTTAAAGCTAAAAAGTTACAGCATTAACTCTCCCATTTTACAATTTGTTTTACCATCTTATTTAAACGAATTGATAATGCACAGAACTCAAACTAAGTGATTCATATAATGACTCCAGTCTAAACTAGATGTCTTGCAGATACATGAAAATTCAGTTTCCCAAAGTTCATATGCTCATGTTAATCTTTTCCAAAAAAACACAAACATGTTTTTTTGCCGGACATGGTGCGAAGTGCAATATTACTGAGCAGAACATGATGCGGAGTGAAAACTCTTACATAACCTACTATAGTGACACAAGTTGCAAACTACCTGGTGTAAGGTGCTATTTGCTCTGAAGTTGCATCAGTAGCAAAGTAAAGGTTCTAAAATGGTGTGTTCATGGAGCTAGAATGGAATTTATGTTAATGAGATGAAGAGAATAACATGTATGAAAGAAATGTTATAGCCAATTCATCTTTTGCTCCCAAGTTCTAAAAGCAAAAGCAACAGTGGGAAAAGTGAATTGCGGTCTTGATTACATCAATGGATATCTACCATGAGATGAAAATTGTCACGGTGAAACAGATGGAGTACATTCAAAATCAAAACATTTAGGTACGAAACTAGAGGTGGGAGCACTAAGCTGGATGAACGCAGGAAGAGATCCTCTGTGTGGCTTCCAGCTGCTTCATCTGCATCCCAACAAGACAATTAACCACTGCATCAGGTTCATACACGCATTAGAGAGAAGCAAGTGGAGAGGAGGGGCTCTGCCTGTATCTGCCTCCACCTATTGGAACATTCTTCCGGATTCCAGCTTCTGAAATTCCCGTCCCTGGTAAATGCACGACAGCACAAGGAACAAGTAGACATGATTAGCTGAAGCACACGTGTTCATGAGTGCGCTGACGCCAGTGGGCTCTCGTCGAGGGTGCGGTCGCGCAATGCGCCGAACACCTTGCGGACGCGGTGGACATGCCAACGCCCACCGCCCGGTTGCATCGCGACTGACGAAACGGACCCGAGATCTCCTCGGCGACCTCGTCTCGCGGTTCCTCGCATATGCAGCTGACGGCGACGAGACGGGAGATGTAGGACGTGGCCAGACAGGGGAGGCCGCCGGCGGTCTGGGACGGTGGGAGCACGACGAGAAGTCTCGCTAGCCCCCAACCAGGCCAGCGGTGGCAATGGATCCGTCGCCGAGGGCCTGTAAGGTGACGCGGATGGGGCCGCGGCGCACGGTGACGGCGGCGGCGGAGGCACGAGCGAACTTGGGCCTAGCTAGCTGCTGGACCGGAAGTCCGCGGCCCTTTTGACAATACAGAACGCCGGCGCAAAACATAGCTCAGGCAGGACACGGCTGACAAAAGACACCGAGGCGCACGGCTCGAGCTCCTCGTCCCCTCCTCCACTAATTCCTCAAGCCTGACGAGCAACCGGGAAGACGACTGGCTGCTCGTCGTCCGCCTCCGCTCGCCGTGCTCCTCCTACCACCAGCATCCGGGAGGCGCCTAAGCTCCGACTAAAATCAGCGTCACTGTAATGTTCAGTGTTCATTCCGAGTTCAATTGTGAGAGTTAGGAACATTCTACGATCCGCACGGCCATTCACAAATTAGCAGAGAAGGTAATGGATTTACTCGGTTGCAGATGGAGTACAGAGCCAGTACAGACTGATGAACAAACAACAAACCGGACTCAAAACACTGACACGAGAGACTCAAAACACTGACTGCAACATTGGACCATTCGCACGCACAGACGGCCGGACTTCTTGGTTTTATTTCATCACGACGACCGGGGCGAGACTCCACACCACTGCTCTGCACTCCACTTCATCGCTCTAGCCGGAGATATGGATGGACTTGACCTCGGGCTTCTTGGCCTCCACCTTGGGCACGGTGACGGTGAGCACGCCGTTCTCCATGGACGCCTTCACCTGCTCCGCCTTGGCGTTCTCCGGGAGCCGGAACCTGCGCAGGAACTTACCACTGCTGCGCTCCACGCGGTGCCAGGTGTCAGTCTTCTCCTCCTGCTCCTTGTTCCGCTCGCCGCTGATCTGGAGGATGTTGCCGTCCTCCACCTCCACCTTCACCTCCTCCTTCTTCAGCCCCGGCACGTCCGCCTTGAACACGTGCGCCTCGGGCGTCTCCTTCCAGTCGATGCGCGCGCCCGCGAAGGCCGCCGTGTCCGAGGAGGTGCGCGGGACGAGGCTGCCGCTGCCGCTGTTGCCGGAGCCGAAGGGGAAGCCTTCGAATGGGTCGAAGAAGTCGAGGGAGAAGGGGTCAAACACGTTGCTGCGGCGGATCAGCGACATTGTCGGTCGTATCGGTGGGGATTGGAGCTGCTGGTGGAATGGATCGACGATTTGGCTGGTGTTGGAAGCGGAAGGGTGAGCAATTGATTTCTGGGAGCTCTTTGATCGGTGCTTTCCTCAGACTTTCTTCGGTTTCTGTCGATCGGGACGAGGGAGAATTTATAGAGAGCTGGGATGATATAGCGGAGAAGGAGAAAGCAGTTCTGGAGAATTCTCTCGTCTTCGCGTGAATACTCGAGGTCGCTGGACTGTGTTCGTTGGTTGGGCCGGAATTGGTTTGGTCCGGTGTCGTGGAGAAGACACCAGCAGCTTCTGGACTCTGCAGTAGATTTGCTAAAAAAAAAAGTAGATTTGCGCTGATGCTTTTTCTTTTTTGCAAAAGATGCACCGACCCTTATTTTAAAAATGGATTGGGCTAACTACCAACTAGTGTGTATTTAAGCAACTTGTACGTACGATCTCTCGTCAACCTAACCACCCATCAAAAATGAGCACATGCACACCCACGCATGCACCCGTCACATGCAGACTTTTTTTTGCCAAACACATTGATTAAGCATGCATACAAAATAATTTTAAAATGCTTTGTAGCTCAAACCGTCACTCTGATGAAAAAACTATTTTCATATAAAAGATTCGTCGCGATGAGACCTTCGAAACTAGATCCCATGTTGGTATGTTCCGACGACTTTTTTTTAGATAAAAGTTACCAAGTGTGTGCTATGCAAGTTATCATGCTAGTTAAGCATAAATTATCATGTTGTTTACACTGAAGATATCAAGCACAAAAATGGTTGCTCCAACCTTCTCTTCACATGCACATGTGTCCATGTAGGGGGGGAATTGATGCCATCCTAGATTCTCCCTATTTCGAAACTTCAAAATATTTTATAGCTCAAATCGTTGGTCCAATCGAAAAATTGTTTCCACATAAAAAATCCGTCGCGGGGGACCTATGAAACTAAATGGCATGTTGATATATTCTGATGAATTTTTTCATGCAAAAAGTATCAGCTCTTATGTGTGTATATTATCATGCTACTTAGACACGCGTTGTCGTAGTATATTTTCAACAAAAAAACTAGGATAAAGTTACGGCAGCGTTTGTGCATGAGTTATCACGCCCGTGGTCTGTATGTTACCACACTATTTACACATAAGGCATCGAGGGTATGTTTTCAAACAACCTCCTCTCCCCGGGTTAAAGTTATCACGGTGTTTGTATATGTGTTATCAAGTCTATGGTACATACATTACCGTGCTATTTACACAAAGGTTATCGGGAGGGGGGAGGTAACTTCCTCCCATGCCCCCATCCCCAGGTCAAAGTTACTGCGGTGTTTGTGCGTGAGTTATCACGTATACGATGTGTATAGTACCAAGCTATTTACACAAAAGTTAGGGGAGGGGGAGGGTTGTAAACAACCACCTCGCCAAAGTTATCAGGATCGAGGCACATAAGCTATCAGGTCTACGATGTGTGAGTTACCATGCTATTCACATGAAACTTACTGGGAGGATATTTCATCCCCCCCCCCCCGGGGCGCTAAAGTTACCAGGACCGGGTCTGTGATGTGTGAGTTACCATGCTATTCACACAAAAGTTACCAGAGGGACATTTCATCAACCACCCCTGCCCCCACTCCCGCGGCGCCAAAGTTATCAGGACCGGGGTACATAAGTTATCAGGTCTGCGATGTGTAAGTTACCATGCTATTTTCACATAAAGGTTATCAGGGGTATATTTCATCACCCACCCCGTAGCTCCCGCCCCGCGCGCGAAATTGCCATGAGGGTGTACATAAGTTATCATGTCTTCAGAGCGTAAAACATATCATGTTATTTGCAGGGAAGTTATCGTGGTATGTTTCAACAACTCCCCCCATCTCCACCCACGTCGCTTACCAAGACTAGGGTATGTTGGGGAACATTGCAGAAAATTAAAATTTTTCCTACGGTTTCACCAAGATCCATCTATGAGTTTATCTAAGCAACGAGTCAAGGGAGTGAGTTTGCATCTACATACCACTTGTAGATCGAGTGCGGCGTTCAAGGGGATGGTGATGATGGAGTCGTACTCGCCGTGATTCAGATCACCGATGACCAAGTGCTGAACGAACAGCACCTCCGCGTTCAACACACATACGGTACGGACGACGTCTCCTCCGTCTTGATCCAGCCAGGAGGAAGGAGAGATTGAGGAAGACAGCTCCAACGGCAGCACGATGGCGTGGTGTTGTTGGTGCAGCAGTACTTCGACAGGGCTTCGCCAAGCACGTACGGAGGAGGAGAGGTGTTGGGGAGGGGAGGGGCTGCGCCTTGGCTTAGGTGTTCAGCCCTCCCCTCACCCCTCTATTTATAGGGGAAGGGGCAAGGGGGGCCGGCCCCTCTAGATGGGATCTAGAGGGGGGCGGCGGCCAGGGAGGGGGGACTTGCCCCCCAAGCAAGGGGGGCGCCCCCTCTAGGGTTCCCTCCCCAACCCTAGGCGCATGGGCCCAAGGGGGGCGCCCAGCCCTCCAGGGGCTGGCTCCTGCCCCACGCAGCCCATGTGGCCCCCCGGGAGGGGTGACCCCTCCCGGTGGACCCCCGGAAACCCTTCCGGTGGCCCCGGTACAATACCGATATGCCCCCCGAAACATTTCGGTGTCCGTATGACAGCTTCCCATATATAAATCTTTACCTCCGGACCATTCCGGAACTCCTCGTGACGTCCGGGATCTCATTTGGGACTCCGAACAACATTCGGCAATCACATACAAGTCTTCCTAATAACCCTAGCGTCATCGAACCTTAAGTGTGTAGACCCTACGGGTTCGGGAGACACGCAGACATGACCGAGACGGCTCTCAGATCAATAACCAACAGCGGGATCTGGATACCCATGTTGGCTCCCACATGCTCCTCGATGAAGTCATCGGATGAACCACGATGTCGAGGATTCAAGCAACCCCGTATACTATTCCCTTTGTCAAGCGGTACATTACAAGCCCGAGACTCGATCGTCGGTATCCCAATACCTCGTTTAGTCTCGTTACCGGCAAGTCACTTTACTAGTACCGTAATGCATGATCCTGTGACCAAACACTTGGTCACTTTGAGCTCATTATGATGATGCATTACCGAGTGAGCCCAGAGATACCTCTCCGTCATACGGAGTGACAAATCCCAGTCTCGATCCGTGTCAACCCAACAGACACTTTCGGAGATACCTGTAGTGCATCTTTATAGTCACCCAGTTACGTTGTGACGTTTGGTACACCCAAAGCACTCCTACGGTATCCGGGAGTTACACGATCTCATGGTCTAAGGAAGAGATACTTAACATTGAAAAAGCTCTAGCAAAACGAACTACACGATCTTGTGCTATGCTTAGGATTGGGTCTTGTCCATCACATCATTCTCCTAATGATGTGATCCCGTTGTCAATGACATCTAATGTCCACAGTCAGGAAACCATGACTATCTGTTGACCAACGAGCTAATCAACTAGAGGCTCACTAGGGACATGTTATGGTTTATGTATTCACACGTGTATTACGATTTCCGGATAATACAATTATAGCATGAATAAAAGACAATTATCATGAACAAGGAAATATAATAATAATGCTTTTATTATTGCCTCTAGGGCATATTTCCAACAGTCTCCCACTTGCACTAGAGTCAATAATCTAGTTACATTGTGATGAATCGAACACCCATAGAGTTCTGGTGTTGATCATGTTTTGCTCGCGAGAGAGGTTTAGTCAACGGATCTGCGACATTCAGATCCGTATGTACTTTGCAAATATCTATGTCTCCATCTTGAACATTTTCACGGATGGAGTTGAAACGACGCTTGATGTGCCTGGTCTTCTTGTGAAACCTGGGCTCCTTGGCAAGGTCAATAGCTCCAGTGTTGTCACAGAAGAGTTTGATCGGCCCCGACGCATTGGGTATGACTCCTAGGTCGGTGATGAACTCCTTCACCCAAATTGCTTCATGCGCTGCCTCCGAGGCTGCCATGTACTCCGCTTCACATGTAGATCCCGCCACGACGCTCTGCTTGCAGCTGCACCAGCTTACTGCTCCACCATTCAACATATACACATATCCGGTTTGTGACTTAGAGTCATCCAGATCTGTGTCGAAGCTAGCATCGACGTAACCCTTTACGACGAGCTCTTCGTCACCTCCATAAATGAGAAACATGTCCTTCGTCCTTTTCAGGTACTTTAGGATATTCTTGACCGCTGTCCAGTGTTCCTTGCCGGGATTACTTTGGTACCTTCCTACCAAACTTACGGCAAGGTTTACATCAGGTCTGGTACACAGCATGGCATACATAATAGATCCTATGGCTGAGGCATAGGGGATGACGCTCATCTCTTCTTTATCTTTTGCTGTGGTCGGGCATTGAGCCGAGCTCAATCTCACACCTTGCAATACAGGCAAGAACCCCTTCTTGGACTGATCCATTTTGAACTTCTTCAAAATCTTATCAAGGTATGTGCTTTGTGAAAGACCTATGAGGCGTCTTGATCTATCTCTATAGATCTTGATGCCTAATATATAAGCAGCTTCTCCAAGGTCCTTCATTGAAAAACACTTATTCAAGTAGGCCTTAATGTTGTCCAAGAATTCTATATCATTTCCCATCAAAAGTATGTCATCTACATATAATATGAGAAATGCTACAGAGCTCCCACTCACTTTCTTGTAAACGCAGGCTTCTCCATAAGTCTGCATAAACCCAAACGCTTTGATCATTTCATCAAAGCGAATGTTCCAACTCCGAGATGCTTGCACCAGCCCATAAATGGATCACTGGAGCTTGCATACTTTGTTAGCATTCTTAGGATCGACAAAACCCTCCGGCTGCATCATATACAGTTCTTCCTTAAGATGCCCGTTAAGGAATGCCGTTTTGACGTCCATCTACCATATCTCATAATCATAGTATGCGGCAATTGTTAACATGATTCGGACGGACTTAAGCTTCGCTACGGGAGAGAAAGTCT